GGCTAGATTCTGGCCGGGCTCCTCCTTATTCTTAATGTTTGCTGCCTGGAGACTGTGGGAGTGCTGGCAAATTCCTATGCAGAGGGGCCAAGCTCTTGAGTTAGGAAATGAGGGCTTCATTTGGCCCACATAGTGGGCGAAGATGCTCACCCAGGGTGCAGAGCGAATTCTGGGACCAAACTGTTCCTCTCTCCACTTGAGTTTCAATGGAAATTACACGTCTCTGCCTGCTTTGCACTTTTCGCATGGCACGCAGGGAGCTGCCCTTCCCGAGCCGTTTGCATTTTGGCTTCTGAAGTTGACTCACTGCAGCCAGCTGTGTGGGCCGCCTCCCTGAAGCTGGTCAGACCATAGCAGTGTCTCTCCTTGTAACACTGCTGTTTTGTCTCCTGCCATATCTCATCTTCACTCCACACAGAACGGTCACTGTGTCCTCCTCAGGCCAGAGCCCTTCTGCGTGTTAGGCGTCTTTTGTTCAGAAGTCCCTCAATTCAGGAGCACTGTTCATACTGCCATGGAACAGTCTGAGCATTTGGGAAAGAGGAGGATGCAGACCTACAAGTGCTTTAAACTCAAACCCAAGTAGCTGAGCGAGTGGAGTATGAGCAAAATCAGTTTGGCATTCTGCAAAAAAAAAGGTAAAATGAAAATGAGATAGAAAACAGTTATCCTGTTATGAAAACCATCTGTAAACATGGACCCTACTATTTGCTTTTTAAAATTTTTTTAAAGATTTTTTTCTTAATGATTTTTAGAGAGTGGGAAGGAGGGGCGGGGGAGAGAGAGAAAGAAACATCCATGTGAGAGCAAAACATTGATCAGCTGCCTCCTGTACCAGGGATTGAGCTTGTAACCAGGGCATGTGTCCTGACCGGGAGTCGAACCAGCAACCTTTTAGGTGCATGGGACAATGCCCAGTCAACTGAGTCACACCAGTAAGGGCTAGTGTTTGCTTTTAACAAAGGAAGCAAATGAATAAGCAGTTTGGTTCATTTGTATATATAAGATTCTTTTGTGTTTTTTTCCTCTGTTTGATTTGTGAAGAGAGTTTCCAGGAACTTTAATGTGAGATATGTATGCATCTCTAGAAAACACTTCATTGAAACAAACCCCCAAGGACAGCCCGCTATGGGGAAAGTCACTTTATTCCACAGGCAAGGTGGGGCCCTGAGATTTGATAACAGACCTAGTTCCTTGTGGCACTGCTTCTGCTTGCTGTGTTGCCTCCGACTTTCCCTCCTTTATCTCATTTGTTCTAAGTCCAAAGGATCAGTGCTGCCTATAAAAGCAACAGATGGCCGATTACCTGCTTCCGCGCTACATCTGCAAGCATTCACAGTTCTCAATTCCAATTATCCAAGTAGTATAGGCACAGGTTAAAAAATGAAATAGGACAAGGCCCTTGTGAAAGCCACTGCTGCTGCCTTCAACCTTGCTACTCCTAGTCCCGCTTCGCAAAGGTCACCACTTCATTATGCTTATTTTTTAGATAGACTTTGAGAGCAGTTTTTATACAGCAAAATTGAGCAGGAAGCACAGACTTCTCATGTCCTCTCAGCTCTCCCCAGTCTCCCCCGCCATCAAAATTCCTCAGCAGAGTGGTACATTTGTAGTTGATGAACCTACGTTGACACATGATTACCCAGAGTCCACTGTTTACATCAGGGTTCACTCTTGGTGTTCTTGGGTTTGAGCAAATATATAATGACATGTATCTATCTGTTCGGTATCATACAGAATAGTTGTAAGTACCCTAAAAATCTATGCCCTGCTTGTCCATTCCTCCCTCCCCTCAAAGCCCTGGCAACCACTGATCTTTTTACTGTCTCTATAGTTTTGCCTTTTCTCCAGTGTCATATAGTAGTTGGAATCATGCAGTATTTACCTTTTCGGACTGGCTTCTTTCACTTAGTAATAGGCATTTGAGTTTCTCTATGTGTTTTCTTGGCTTGATAGCTCTTTTCTTTTTAGTGCCAAATAATATTCCGTTGTCCGGATGTATTCACTCGCCTACTGAAGGACAGATCCCTTGGTTGCTTCCAACTTTTGATAGTTATGAATAAAGCTGCTATCAATATCCATGTGCAGGTTTTTGTGTGGATATAAGTTTCAACTCCTTTGGCTAAATGCCAAGGAGTGCAATGGTTGGATTATGACAAGAGTGTGTTTATTTTGTAAGAAACTGCCAATCTATCTTCCCAAGTGGTGGCACCATTAGGCATTCTGATCAGCAGAGTATGAGAGTCCCTGTTGCTTCACATCCTCGCCAGCATTTGGTGCTGTCAGTGTTTGGGGTTTTAGCTATTCTAGTGGGTGTGCAGTGGCATCTCAGCATTGTTGTAATTTGCAAATCCCTAATGACAGGATATGGAGCACCTTTTTTAAAAAAATTATATTTTTATTGATTTCAGAGAGGAAGGAAGAGGGAGAGAGAGATAGAAACATCCATGCTGAGAGAGAATCATGGATCGGCTGCCTCCTGCAAGTCCCCACTGGGGATCGAGCCTACAACCCGGGCATGTGCTGTTGTCTGGAACCAATCCTGGGACCTTTCAGTTCGCAGGCTGATGCTCTGTCCACTGAGCCAAACCGGCGAGGGCTGGAGCACCTTTTCAGAGGCTTATTTGCCATCTGTATGTCCTCTTTTTTTTTAAAAAAATATTTTATTGATTTTTTACAGATAGAGAGTTAGAAACATCGAGAGAGAAACATCGATTCAACTGCCTCCTGCACACTCCCTACTGGGTATGTGCCCGCCACCAAGGTACATGCCCTTGACCGGAATCAAACCCGGGACCCTTGAGTCCGCAGGCCGACGCTCTATCCACTGAGCCAAACCGGGTAGGCCTGTATGTCCTCTTTGGTGAGGTGTCTGTTCAGCTATTTTGCCCAGTTAAAAACTTTTTTACTTTTCAATTACATTTGACACTAAATATTATATTAGTTTCAGATGTACAACATAGTGGCTAGACATTTATATAACTTATAAAGTGATCCCCTCCATAAGTCTAGTATCCACCTGCATTTTGCCCACTTTTAATCAGGTGGTTCATTTTCTTATAGTTGAGTTATTTGCATATTTTAGATAATAGTCTTTTTTCATATATGTCTTTTGCAAATGTTTTCTCCCAGTCTGTGACTTGTCTTCTCATTCTTCTGACATTGTTCTTTTTTATTTTCAAATTTAGACATTTTGTTGACTCCTGCTATGATAGATGAGGATTCAACTCCACTTTTTACTTACACCCTCCCAATGTAATTTTATCACTGTTTTCAGTGCCTTTCTTGGCTACCTCTTTTATTGTAGTAATGTACTTTATCTTTATTTCTTGTTTTGTCAACTGTATGTAGTATCTTTGACTCTCCATTTGTAAGATGAAGATGGATATTATTGTTACTACCCTTTCTACCAGCTTTCTCCACCTTGTCTTCTACCTCCAGTTTCTTTCATCTGTACTTTAACTTTTTTTGCTAGCATACTTTGTGTATAGGTCAATTTAAATAGTAGTGATGTTATTGTTACTACAGAGGTATCCTTCCCTGCAGAGTGAAGTCATGTGTCATGATTCTGTTAACTTTCTTATGCAGCTTCTTGTTTTTATGAGGTTTCTGTTTTCCCCACTATTTTTATTTTATCTTCTTTTTTTTCATACTATTTATTCAAGGTGTTCTTCTGCCAAAGGAGCTTCCCTATGAGATACTTTGTCCGCTGACCAGCCTGGACTTGTGCTCCTCCTGACTTGCTCCCTGGGTATTATGATGAGACTTCCCCTGACTGCGTTCCTCTTAGAGCGTCACTGCTTCCTGGACCAGCCTCTTCCTCATGGTTTACTTTCTGGTTTTACAGGAGCATGTCCCCAAATAACTTCCTCAGAAAGGCTGTTGGCAGTTCAATGTTTTGTGCCGTTACGTGTTTTAAAATGTATTTTCCACCTTGATGAGTGATTTATAGTTAAGTTGGGTATAGAATTCTAGATTGAAAATCATTTTCCCTCAGAACTTTGAAGGCCTTTGCTTTATGGCCTTCTAGAGCTCAATATTGCTAATGAATGATGATGGCCAGTCTCATCAGTCCACAACCCTTCCCCAAACTTTTATTCATTCTTGATGTTCTGAAACTTTATTAAAGATGTATCCATCTCCATGAGGGTCTTTTTCATTTGTTTGCTTAACATGAATTCTGAACTCATGGTCTTCAACTTTGGGGAATTTTCTTATGTCAGTTCTTTGATAATTTCCTTCATTCTGTTTCCATTGGTCTGTATTTCTGTAATTTCTGTTAAGTGATTGTTTGATCTGCTGGATTGAACTTTTGTGTTTATCTTTTCTATTTCCATCTTGTTTTCTTTTGTTCTACAGAAAGTTTGCATCCCATCCCTTCTCTTGAATCTTTTAATTTGACAAACTTAGTTAAAATGTTTGAAAGCTTTCTCTTGTATTATCTTTATTCTTTTTCATAGGACCCTTACCTTGTTTTAATAGATGTATATCACCTTGAATCTCAATCAGTGAGACCTTCATTGAGCACCCCGTATAAATCAGCCTCTAACCCTTTGCTGCCAGGCTCTCTGTTCTCCAGGACCTTTGCACATTCTGTTTACTTTTTCTTAGCCTTCCATTTTCCCTTTTATTTAGTTTGAAGTATTTGGAGGATAATTCATTTATGCTTATCAAGTACGTAGTTTGATATTCACATGTTGCTCAGAGAGGTCCACAGAAGAGTTAATTTGGGAGTCATCAGTATATAGGTGTTATTTAAGATTATTGAGTAGAATCACCAGGAAAATATTTGTAATAAGAGAAGAAAAATGCACAGGATGTAGACCCGAGGAATTCTAATATATAGCATGAGGAGGAGGAATAGGCAAAGGAGATGGACAGAGGGTAGCTGCTGGGTTAAGAGAAAAACCAAGACAATGTGACATCAGAGTCATGTTTCCAAAAGGAAGAAATTGTTCTAACTGCTGAGAGGATGAACAATATCCATTGTATTGGACCACATGGGGGTCATTGATGACCTCAGCAGGCAGTGCAATGGGAGTGGGCAGGGGAGTGAGTGAGAGTGGAGGACATGAGGACAACCAGTGAACATAAGTCTTTGGAGGATTCTGCTATGAGGGGAAAGAGAGAAATCAGGTATTAGTTAGAGGAAGATGTGGATTTTAGGGTGCGTGTGTGTGTGTTTAATTGGCAGGAATTAAGCTTGTTTAAGTGCCAGTCAGAATAATACAGTGGAAAGGGAATGATATTTCAACAAGTCACAAGTGTACTGGGCACATTGAGGACACTGGCTAGAAGGTAAATGGGTGTGCTAGAGAGCGAAAAAAAAAACCTAAGTTGAAAAAGGTTGGGTATGTTGATTAGAGATTATATGTGACTTTGAAAGCCAAGGGAAGAAGTTTAACATTGGTGCAGCAGATGAGAAGAAATGTGTACAGGTTCTTGAACAGAAAAATGAATGAGTTATGTAAGGGATTTGACCCAGAATATCTCAGAGGTGGGAGAGTGATTCAGAAATGTAGACAGAGGACCTGGACTAGATTTATCATGAAAGAAAAGGAAAAATATGGAATCATTTCCAAAAATAGTTCATAGGTTTTAGTAACAGACTGGTTAGTTGCAAAAAGGAAGGGGAAAGGAAGGTTTAAATATGTTTTTAGGGTTCCTTGAATAGGGGAACCTAAAAAATGATTAGTGCCACTGTCAGACATGAATAAAAAGAATGAAGGGAAGAAGGAATGGATACTTAAAGTTAGCTGCCACTGAAAAGTTGAGAAGGCTGATGATTAAGGGGGGAAAATAGGTTTGACCTTACAGAAATTATTGGAACTTTTTGAGAAAAAAATTTATGCAGAGTGATAATGAAGACATATCCTAATAGTTTAGACTCAGAATGAGCAAGTTCTCTTGTGTCTAGGAGACAAGGCAGCAATCGTGTGGTATGTGAAGATGGTGAACTTCATTTATATCTCCCACCGAGAAGTACTCTGTGAATTCTTGTTGAATAAATGAAGGATTGATCATTTATTTCAGAAAGTCACCCTTCATCAGTGCATATTAGACAGAAGACCTACTAAAGAAAAACCTCAGTAGCTTATTCTTTGGGTAAGATGAGGACATTAAAAAGGGCCTGAAAATATTTTATTTCAATTCATAAAAATCACTATTTAAAAGTGTCACCTGTTTTATGGTTTAAACTAGAGGCCCGGTGCATGAAATTTGTGCATGGTCTGGGTCCCTAGGCCTGGCTGGCGGTCAGGGCTGATCGGGGCCTTCTGGCTGCCAGCTGGGGCCTTCCTTTCCTGGCTGCCAGCTGCCAGCCAGGGCCTCCCTTCATTCCACGCCGCCCCCTGGTGGTCAGCGCACATCATAGTGAGCATTCGGACTCCTGGTCTTCCGGTCGAACTCCCATGGGGACAATTTGCATATTAGCCATATATATATATAGATGATCATGCTATTGTTATTTTCGAATGTGCTTTATGTTCTCTGAAAAGATTTCTTTTTACCATACCTTTATCTCTCTGTATATTGTTATGGTAGGATTTTTCACTCCTGTTTTTTTAAAATTCATTGTATAAATGTAACTGTAAAATAAAGAAGCAGGAAAATTACTCAAAGTCCAACCTATTTAATACTCACGTGTTCTCAATATTATATGTTCCTTCCTAGGGTGTGTCTCTATGACTACATAGTTTGGTGCATCTGTGATTAACTGCACTATAATATAAATTTTCATTTGGCCTTTAAAAATGTAACATATCAAACAATTTTTAAAAAATATATTTTATTGATTTTTTTACAGAGAGGAAGGGAGAGAGATAGAGAGTTAGAAACATCGATGAGAGAGAAACATCGATCAGCCGCCTCCTGCACACCTCCCACTGGGGACGTGCCCGCAACCCAGGTACATGCCCTTGACCGGAATCGAACCTGGGACCCTCCAGTCCGCAGGCCGATGCTCTATCCACTGAGCCAAACCGGTTTCGGCAATCAAACAATTTTTTAACAATAAATTATGTTGGGTGGAGCTTGCTTTTATTTTCACGTCTTACATCAGACAACCAGCCTCAGTAGGAATAAGTGCTGATCTGATATGAGGATGGGAAGGAGACAGAAGTCCGGTTCCCTCGGCCCTGGGCTTCCCACCACTCTGCTGTCACTCTTGCCATGGAGTATTGTGTTAGTAGCATGCCCAGTTTCAGGGCTCCGGATGTGTTGTTCAGCAGTGAGGCTGCTTGAAAGAGACTGAGGGTAGAGCCCTGATGATTGATTGCATCATGGGCTGGAGCACTGCCACCGCTTTACTCTTACCCACCAGTGCCCATGACGGGGTGTGTCGGGGGCAGAATTAGGCCCCAAATGGGGCAGTGAGCAGCCAAGTACCAACCTTAGTTTGGTCTGATGATGAATTTTAACAACTCTCTAAACTTTACCTCTGCTAATTGCAGTTTCTGAAATTATGTGTACAGAGATGGGAAAAATCTTTTAGAAAATCTAAAACAATTATACTGAGGATTTTCTTTAAGAGAGAAGAAAGAACAGATGTAGTAAAAAAATTCAACTAGATTATGTGTTTTTTAATCCACAACTGGATATGTTTCATAAATGTACTTTGGTTTATTGTAAAAAAAATTATTCCTAGTAATTTAAATAAAGTTAACTAACACCTAAGTGGAGAACAAACTAAGATTTGGCAGCTAAAGGAAGGAGTTAAACTGTCACTGGAAATGATGACAGAGTTCATCTCTCTTATTTTAGTTCTTCCCATCGTCAAAACCAGTAATTGAAAAGGAACCTTAATTTTCGTAGCATTATTAGGCATGGCAAATACCTCTGTGATCATCAGTCCTGTACTCTCAGTTTTGCCTGGTCTGATTATAGTTGTGGTGAAACTTTAATTATCTTTCTGTTTTCATTATGGTCCTGGCCAAGATTACTTCACCTTAGGGGACTGTTGTTACTAAAACATTTTATTGCTTAGTGATTTTAGTCTTTCTGTAACAAGAACAATTAGCCCTGGCTGGGTGGCTCGGTTGGTTGGAACATCATTTCATACATCAAAAGGTTGTGGGGCCGAAACCGGTTTCGCTCAGTGGATAGAGCATTGGCCTGCGGACTCAAGGGTCCCAGGTTCGATTCCGGTCAAGGGCATGTGCCTGGGTTGCGGGCACATCCCCAGTGGGAGATGTGCAGGAGGCGGCTGATCGATGTTTCTCTCTCATCGATGTTTCTGACTCTCTGTCTCCCTTCCTCTCTGTGAAGGATCAATAAAATATATTTAAAAAAAAAAGGTTGTGGGTTCTATCCCTGGTCAGCACCCATACTGGAGGCATCCGATCCATTGTTTCTCTCTCACATCACACTCTCTGCCTGTCTGTCTGTCTGTCTCTCCCCGTACCTCCCTTCCTCCCTCCCTAAAATCAATAAACATATCCTCAAGTGAGGATTAAAAAAGAATAATTAAATAAATCTTTTTTTTGTTGCATATCGGGTAGGTTGCAAGTGAGGCATCTGGACACCTGAAGCATTAGATGTGTATTGTAGTACTCTTAGCTTTCGAGTAACTTAATTTGAAAAGTTACTATAAAAACCATAGTTTTCCGGTATATTATTATGGCAGTGTAGCCATTATTATGTCAAAGTTTTAAATGTCAGAGAGTTAGCAACAATGCTGTCATCACCGCAGATTTCAAGACGCTTCAATATGGCTATGCGGTAGCTCATGCCTGAGTAAGTGTAGGTGGTGGGTTTAGAGCTACTGTGCGGTGTTGGGTTCTGCTTCTGCCTTAGCAGCCCGGAGCTGCCGCCAGTCTGAGGCTGCATCCCCTGCCCCAGCCTTTCCTACACTGTAGAGGCCGAGAGACTGGTGGCCTCCAGCCCAAGGACGTGCTTGCGTAAGGCACAGCCAGCAGCCGTAACATCCAGTGGCCTTGGAGTTTGTGAAACAGGTTCATTGACATTTAGCCTCTAAGGTGGGTTTCATTTCTAGATCATACGACAGTGATGTCTGGGGTTTCACCCCTACAATTTTTTTCAACATTGTCTTTAATGTATAGTATAAATGAAAGCTTAAATATAGGATGGATGAAAATTTTAAAATGATTATAGTGTCGAAGTCTAGATGAAAATAAAAGATAATTCCTTACATTTCCCATTATAAGTTCTAAATTCCATATCATTTCCATATTATATAAATCCCTTTAACATTTAAAGCTGTACCTTAGAGATAGATGATATGCCCCTCTCCCATGTGTTCTTGTTTATGGATACAGACGAGCACACCATTTCCACTGACGTTAAAATCAATAGGTCATTGGATCAGATCAGTCTTTCATTGGATTATTTATGTCTTTTGATTTCTTAATTAGTTTGTGCTTAGTCTGAATATATTAATGATTAATTTTTAAGTATTTATTGAAAAATTCATATGAAAGTTTATTTTGTTGAAAGACTGTTGTTCATTTGTCAAGGTTATCAATTCAGATAGGTTATCAAGGTTGCAACTTAAAGAAAACCCAATGCAAGGTGACTTCTATGAAGGGTATTTGTTTGGTTGTGTAATTGGAAGGCCAGCCATAGGCCACGCCTGAGGGTTGATTGAGTTAGCAAACCCACAGTGCTGCCACGGTTTGGGTTGTCTTCTTTCTACTCTGCTTCTCACCTTCCTCTCCTGACAACAGGATGGCTGCCAGCCAGTCCCAGACTTAACTGATTTCTCACTCATGTCCAGCAGTCTTTCAGAAGCTCACCCAGAAAACCTTTCCTTAGTTGAGGGATGTGCCCATGCCTTGAACCACCAACTATGGCTGGGATGGGATTGTTTTGAGTCACTTCCCCTCAAGTAGGGGGCTGTGGGAGGAGGTACAGAAACCCCAGTCAGAACTGGGTGGTTATCTAGAGGAGGAGGAAGTGGATGGAGGGCAACAGCTTCCTGTTTGCCGCGCCACGCAGGTTGAAGTGGCTTGGGCTTCATTTATAAAGTGCTTGCTTTGTTTCATTGATTTCTACTTTTGTCTCTAGGGTCTGTGACAGCAACCAAACGGACAGGCATTCCAGCTCCTCGAGAACTTTCGGCAACTATCTCAAGAGAGAGAACTGTGCCACGTGGTCCCACCAACCCAAAGAAATCGGTGTCTAGTCCAACTTCTTCCAGCACACCCACCCCTACCAAGCACCAGAGGACCACTTCCACAAGACCCAGGCCAGAGAATGAAGGCGGAGAAAAGGCTGTGCTCGAGTCCCAAGTTCGGGAGCTTTTGGCAGAGGCCAAAGCAAAAGATAGTGAAATTAACAGGCTTCGAAGTGAACTAAAGAAATGCAGGGAGAAAAGGACTCTGAACACTGCAGGAACCGACGCTTTGGACCCAAAGATGGATGGAACATCAGTCTCAGCAGGTGACTCTGAACCGTTGATACAAGCTCTTGAGGAGAAGAACAAGAATTTCCAGAAAGAGCTTGCCGATCTAGAGGAAGAAAACCGGGCCTTGAAGGAGAAACTGAGTTATTTTGAGCATTCACCAAATTCAGAGGGGGGGTCCAGTCACACTGCTGAGAGCAGCTGTCCAACATCCCTCACCCAAGAGTCAAGTTTCGGAAGCCCGACTGGGAATCAGGTGTCAGGTGAAGTAGATGAATATAAAAAACACACCCCCCAAACCGTATTGCGGACGTCGGGCTCTTCAAGTAGCGATGTTACCAAAGCTTCTTTGTCACCGGATGCCTCCGATTTTGAGCACATCACAGCGGACACCCCCTCTCGGCCCCTGTCTTCCACGAGCAACCCCTTTAGGAGTTCAAAGTGTTCTACCACTGGGAGTTCCCCTAACAACGCGAGTGAACTGTCCCTGGCCTCCCTTACGGAGAAGATACAAAAGATGGAAGAAAACCATCATAGCACAGCAGAAGAACTGCAGGCTACTTTACAGGAATTATCAGACCAGCAACAAATGGTGCAGGAATTGACAGCCGAAAATGAGAAGCTGGTGGATGAGAAGACGATTTTGGAAACTTCCTTTCATCAGCATCGAGAGAGGGCAGAGCAGCTCAGTCATGAGAATGAGAAGCTGATAAATCTCTTACAGGAGCGAGTGAAGAAGGAGGAGCCCAGCACGCAAGAAGGAAAGGTCCTGGAGCTGGAGCAGAAGTGCACAGAAATCCTGGAGCAGGGCCGCTGCGAAAGGGAGAAACTGCTCAGCATTCAGCAGCAGCTGACCTGCAGCCTACGAAAGGTTGAGGAGGAAAATCAAGGGGCTTTAGAGATGATCCAACACCTGAAGGAAGAGAACGAAAAACTGAACGGGTTTCTAGAACTGGAACGGCAGAACAGTAGTGTGATGGCCCAAACTCTGGAAGAGTGTACAGTTACCTTGGAAGGGCTGAAGATTGAAAATGGGTCTTTGAAGGCTTATTTGGAGAATGAGAAGCAGAAAGCTATAGAGACCAGTTCTATGGGGCAGACGGCAGAGGGCTGTGAAATTCAAGAAATGTTGAAAGTAGCTCGAGCTGAGAAAGATCAGCTGGAACTGTCTTGCACTGAGCTCAAACAAGAATTACTAAAGGCACATGGTGAAATTAAACATGTTTCAAGTCTACTAGCCAAGGTAAGGAGATACCTCTTTATCAGTGTTTGCTCATCCTTATTAACATTTCCCTCCTTGATCTTTAAATTCAAAGAGCACAGAGAATCTTTTGCTTAGTCATGTTCATTCTGTTAGATTCCAGACAGGTTGGAGATACAAAAATGAAACACCCCCAGTTTCTGACTATAGGCAGTTCCAAATGTGGCGGGGATGTAGTGAATCAAATCCATCAGTGTGGTGCAGGGGTAAAGGACAGCCCAGAGTTGTGTGCCAAGGAGGAACACCCAGAATATGTGGGGTAAAGGAGGGTAGTGCAGGAGGACTTTTTGAAAGAAGTGACAGTAAGCTGAGTCTTGAAGAATGAGTGAGAGTGTCTGGCCAGTGTGGCTCAGTGGTTGAGCATCGACCCATGAACCAAGAGGTCACTGGTTCAGTTCCTGGTCAGGGCACATGCCTGTGTTGCGTTGCAGGCACAATCCCCAGTAAGGGGTGTGCAGGAGGCAGCTGATCAGTGATTCTCTCTCCTCATCGATGTTTCCATGTCTCTATCCCACGCCTTTCCTCTCTCTTTAAAAATCAATAAAAACAAAAACAGCAAAGAAGAGTGAGTGAGAGTTATCCAGGTCTGTCAGCATGCCTGGGATGCTTGTAACAGAAAATTAAAGTCACCCCAAATTTCCCCACCAAGTAATAATATTACCAGTATTTTGGTATTTTCTTGATATATGTTATGTGTTTTTCCCATAAGTTAAAAATTTTTTTTGAAGAATCGCCTTGTACACATTGTTAACTTTTAAAAATGTAACATTTTCTGAGCATATTGTCATTATCATTCTTTGATACATTATTTTAAAGACCAGATAGTATTCTATGCTGTAAATATTTTGTATGTACTTTACTAGTGGCCTGTTGTTGAATGTTTGTGTTCTTTTCAAGTCTTTTGATACTGTAAATACATATTTTATATCTCTCATTATTTCCTTAGGAAAAATTCCTGGACAGTGACTTCCTGTTTCAGAGGATGACCCTTTTAAAACCTTTCAATACATTTAGCCAGATCGCCCTGCAGACACATGACCCCAGCCTGCCCCCCTGCAGATCAGGAGAGTGCTTGTTCCCCAACAGTTGACATCAAGTTGGTGTCACATAGAGTTTCTTTTACGTGTATCAAGACCCTAGGTGTGTGCTTTTGTGCTGTCCTGTGTGTACAGGGACACTGATCTGCAGTTGCAGTGAAGCTGTAACTGGTACTAGTCTTTCCGCCCTTTTCTGTTACCATCGGAAAGTAAAACCCAGTCCTCCTAGGCACATTGAAAGCTTATTTAATCCACCAGCAGCCACAGATTCTAATGATGAGGCAGAAGGGAATAGGGACACTTGTGGCACAAAACTGTAATGAAGGATAGAAAGTGCTGACGGGGAGGAGGAAAGCCTGTGTCCTCGCGACTTGGCTAACGGTTAATTTTGTGGCCTGGGCAGGCCCCTTTCTATTGTACAGTGTTGATGGGAAGGGTGATAGTGGAAGGATTCTGGCCTTGTTCCTTATTTAAAGGGAGCGCTTTCAACATTTTGTCATTAAGGATATCTGTTGGGGCATTTGCTGTATACCTTTAATTGAGTTATGCAAGTGTTTGGCTAAGAAAGTTTTGTGTTTTTTTTAAAAGGATGGATATTGAATTTTTCTACATCTACTGTAGATTTTATGCATTTGTAAGATCTATGCTGTAGATCTTGGACATCTACTATGATCTTATAGTTTTTATGTAATCAAAATGTTTTTTCTTCTTTAATTTGTTAAGGAGGTGTGAATAATAATAACAGATTTTCTTTTTTTTTAATCCTCACCTGAGGATATGTTTTCAAATTGATTTTTAGAGCGAGAGAAAGGGAGAGACAAGACAGAAAAAGAGCGAAAGAGAGAGAAACATCAATCAGTTGCCTCCCATTCGTGCCCCAAACGGGGATTGAACCCACAATCTAGGTATGTGCCCTGAGCAGGAATTGAACCTTCCAGCTTTTGGTGTAGGGTACGATGCTCCAACCAACTGACCCACACGGCCAGGGCTACAATAACAGATTTTCTAATGTAGCCTAGTGTTAAATCATCTTTGCACAGCTGGGTTCAATTCTGATTCTTCAGTTCTCAATGGCTTCACTTGATTTTTTGCATAGAACTTTCAGCTATAACTCAAAGTGACTGTCCTATTAGTCAGCATTAGACTGCTTGGTGATGAGCAGCTGTTACCTGGAGCTCTGCATTTATCCACTGTAATTCTCAAGAAGGTGAATACTCTGAGAAAGGAGCAAAGTAACCTATTTACAAAGAGGAAGAAAGGCAATGCCAAGCCGTCCCATAATCTAATAGATTTAGTAAATCTGTATATGTTTCCAGCTTAGTGACTCAGCTATTGTTCGGAGAGCCTCTGAAAAGCCTTAAAATGTACTTTTTCCCTCCCAGTACAGTTGGGTCTGAAATTTGTATGAATCCTTATACAAAATTCATAAAATATTTAAAATAATTGTGTGAATGTTTTGTAGGCTTTCTCTTGCTCTCATTGCTAATATAGCCATTCTTTTCAGCTTTTCTGATACCCACATGTACAACATGCCTTTGTACACCTTTGAGGAGGGGCCAATTCCACAGAATCCTGAGGTCTGAACCTCCCAGCCAGTCAGCAGCATTCAGGGGTCTGGGGTTATTGTTTCTCCAGACTCTAATGCAATTAGGGTTACGTTTTTTAGCTTTCAAGTTTTCAGTCCTTTATGGTCTTGATTTCAAGTTAGAGAATTTTTACAAGACGTGAAACCTAGAAGTTTTAAAAGAAAATACTGATTTTCACCCCTCTGCCCTGAGATTGAAAGCTTATCGGTGGTATAGCCTTAGAAATTTAGTTCTTTCTACAGAAACTCAGTGTCTCTTCCAGAGGAGTAAGGAGATTACACACTTGCTGTGAGCGGTCAGGGAAAACTAGAGGTGAAATGATCATTAACTAATTGCAAGAACTACTAGATCCATACTATAAGTTTTAACAGTTTAGGTTTACTACATGCATCCTTTATTGTGTCTGAATCTCAGCAAAAAATGCTTAAAGAACTATGAGGATTTCCCAGTTAGGTAGTTGCTTTGTGAAAGAAATAGTTTTTCCTTATACTTGGGGATGTGGTTTAATGGTAATTTTACAGATGAAAAGATGGTAAGAATTTGGAAAAGGAAGTCATTAGGTGAATGAATGGATATCCTATATAATAAAAGGTTAATATGCAAATTGTCCCCTCGACCAGGAGTTCGACTAGGAGTTAGACCGGGGGCAGGGCTGGCCAGCCAACCCCCTATGGCTCCTCCCCCCTGGCTGGCCCCACCCATGATTGGCCCTGATAGGGGGCGGGGCCAGCTGGCCAACCTTCAGCATCCCCTTCCCCCAGCTGGCCCCAGCCCGATCGAACCCCACCTGTGCACAAATTCGTGCACGGGGCCTCTAGTAGGAAAAGAAAATACATATTGCATATTTTATAAATACTATCTCTCTTTTAATAATGGGAGAATTTTAATTTATGTGTCAGTAGGTAAAATGTTCCACATTTCTATTCTCATTGGGCCAAACTAGAGTAGCCACTGACAAATTCTAGAGTAGAATTTGAGGTGTGGCAAGTAGATGATTCTGTAGGCATGATTGCAGAACAGGACTTCTTGAAGGGCTGAGACCTGAGAACCTGGCTTAAATACAGGTGATCTATGAGGAGGGTGCCAGGTGATGCTTTGGACTGTGAGACACAAGAACCTCCTAGTGTCAGTTGCCTAAGCAAACCGGAGTTCACTTCGCTCCCGTAATCAGAAGTCCAGGAGGTAGGCAGTTGGTAGCTGTGGTCAGGGCTGCCTGATGTCAGGACTCTGGGCTGGCAGCTCTGCGATTCTCTCCGCCTTCCTGCCAAGGGAGCAGGGAGCACAGCATCTTCAGCATCTCGTCCTCAGAGTCCTGGCGGACAGGAGGCGTGGCAGGAGCCCCCGCAGCAACTCCCTTTATATGTGGTCAGAACTGGGTCACACACCTTCCCCCATCCACCCTCCTTGAAATCATAAGATCATGTCCTGACTCTTGAACAAAATTGGGATTCTCTGTAAGAAAAAAGGGAGCATGGCTTTTGGTAGGGAAGAGCGCCATTTGCCTCAGCCTCCGACAGAACTCCCTCCACATGTTCACTCTTCCCTACCCCTGTTCATTCTCCACAAAGTGCTCACAGAGATCTCCTATGTGTGTAATGCCTGCACAGTTCCCCTTTGCACCAAACACTCCACCCAATGCGCGAAGCCCTGTGTTGCCTTCTGCTTACACCTCCAGCCTTGGTTGCACCACCGTCCTCCCCGCCTGGGCCCAGCCACGCCGAGTTCTTGTCCTAACTCGCATCAGATGAAGGAAGTGGGGGCTCTCTCTGCCAAAAGTGTTCTTCTCTCTTTGCTTCCCTGACCCTCTCCCCATTCTTCACTTGCCTGGTCCTGTCTTAAGCTTTAGGTCTCAACTATAGTGTCACTGCTTTAGAGAGACCTTCAGCTCTGTGGGGTCATTGTCTCATGGCCTGAACAGCCAGCATGTCTGCATCAGCTCGGATCACTTGTGTGAAGCCCCCTGCCCATCCCCATCGCCTCAGAGGAGTTCAGAGTGTTGGTGGATCTCTTTGGTAGAGTTGAGGGGAACTTAGGGATCACTTCCCTATGAATCATGGACTGGATACTATTGGAAAAGTTGGTTAAGATTGAGTTGTTTAAGCTGAAAACCTGAACATTTCAGTTATCTTCAGTTGAGACACTTCCCCCCATTCTCTCCAGTACATTTGGCTGACAATCATGTCAGCTCCTGGTGAAATAGCCTATGACTTCATGCTGGGAAGAAAGCATGTAAGAAACGTGTAAACAGAGCCTGTTTTCCTGTTCTCCCACGCAAGTCAAGAGAAGGCATGTTGAGGCAGCTTAGGGAAGGCCTGCAGGTCCCTCACCTGGAAGCCTTCGAGGTGGGCAGTTGCCCCAG